AGTCTTGTTTATGTGATCCCTTTGGCTCTTAGTCCTATCATTATGATCAATTGTGAACAGAAATTGATCACTGGGACTAGTGAGATGGCATTGGTACATGCAACCTTGATGGGATTGAATTGGAATCCCCTGGTATGTTTCCAACTCTATCGTTTGAGGTAAGTCAGCTTGAGCATGTCCCGAATTGCACATCTCTTCCCTCTCTTATTCCCACTCTTATATTTAACAGCGATCACTTCTCAGTTAAGTTTCAACACTTAAGAATAACTGTGTATTCATTACAGTATTCAACCAAAAGTATTAAGTAGAACAAACAAAAAAAATACTAAGAGGGATAATGTATTAAGTTGTTCATCAACAGTCAGGGCAAGGGCTGATCAGGTCACCGTTTCTCATAGTGTTCATTTCACTTTAACAGGTTTCCTTCTTGGTGCTCGATTAGTTGTCACCAATCAGTGAGTACATATGACTGGCTTATTTCACTCAGCATAATTTTTTCCAAATTCCTAACAGGGATCAATTTTCAGTTAAAATTTAAACACCTAAGAATAATTGTGTGTTAATTACAGAGTTCAACCAATAGTACTAGAACAAAAAAAGTGGGTAGTTTGTTTTGATGTTGTGGAGTTTCTTGATTTCTTTGTAGATTCTGGTTATCAACCCTTTATCTGTTACACAGTTTGCAAATATTTTTTCCCATTCTCTCGGTTGCCTCTTCACTTTCCTGACTGTATCTTTTGAAGTACAGAAACTTCTCAATTTGATGCAATCCCAAATGTTAATTTTGGTTTTGACTACCTGTGCTTCTGGGGTATTTTCCAAGAAGTCTTTGTCAGTACCTATATCTTGCAGAGTTTTTCCAATGCTCTCTAATGATCTGATGGTGTCAGGTCGTAGATTTAAGTCTTTTATCCATGTTGAGTGAATTTTTGTGTAAGGTGAAAGGTAGGGGGTCTTGCTTCGTGATTCTGCACATGGAAATCCAATTTTCTTCTCTCCAGCTTTTGTTTTGCTTCCAATTTCCTGAGGCCTGAATTCACATTCAGAAGACATACTTGTCTTGAAGTTGTTTCCCAACTTCTTTCTCCCACCCACCTGCAACATGGCCCCACCTAGATGATATGTATCATTTAAATTTACAATGAACTGGAAATCTTACTGTTTCAAAACTGTACTTACAGCTCCTTAAGGCAATGCCATATGAATTATGGGTTTCGGGGTGAGTAGCAATCTCTCAATATCATAGTCAGATAAGAACTATGTGTTGATCTCTCTGGCCTGCTTTTGGTGAAAACAAAGCTGCCAAGTTATTCGTTGACGTGTCATATATGTCAAAGGGCAAGCCAGGGCACAGAAACCAGATCATGCTCTCTCGAATTATCATTGTTCATGTGTTAGATTTGTGAGTTGCTAAGCAAGTCTGCAGTCTTCTGATTGTGATGGAGCTGTGCATATGGTCTTATGGCTTCTGGATCCCAAGTGAGTAAAATGAACAAACCAAGTCTCCAGAGATGACCACTCATTTCAAAATAATATTTGGCCCCTACCACGCTGCTATCATTCTGCTTTTATTCTTGTTCTTGGCCCCACCAATTTTTGCTTCTCTTACACAATAGCCCACTCCCTGAATATTGCTCAGTATTTGGCAGACAAACAATTTAGTGTATTTCAAGGAAATTGTGGCTTTAACATTTTCAGGGAATTGTCTAATTCAGGTTATTTGTGTAGTAACCATTTGTGAACAGAAATTGAGTAGTCTGGGATCTATGTATATAGTGACCTGTTCTCACCATACTATGATTTTTAAGTAATTTTCTAATAATTCTATCAAAATGACTCCTTCTAGTACTGGAGCAGCTGTGTGATTTGTAAAGTAGCAAACGGTTGGAGTTCACTTGGTGCTGCTCCTTGCGTTTATATGTACAATTTCTGCAGGTACTAAAGCAGTGTATCAGAGCTATTAAACAGTTAAACCATCAATCTGGAATTCTGCCTCTTAGAACTGAAATTTTCATTCATTTTACTAAGTTTTGTGCTGAAGGCTGAAAGTGAGTGCAAACCATGTACATTCACAGAGTTGTGTTTCTTGTTGGAGACCAGCAAACATGAAGTTCTTGATGCTAGAGTGAAAAAGTGCTGGAAGCCACCAGGACACCCAGAGTGTGTGCATGACTACAGGCCTGTTGGGACACAACCATCCTGTGGTTCCACTTTTTTTTTAATTTGAAAGGACACAGAGAGAGAGAGAGAGAGAGAGAGTGAGAGAGAGAGAGAAAGAGAGATCTCCTGTCTACTGGGTAATTAAATGCCTGCAAGTTGAAGCCAGGAGCCTGGGAACTCAATCAGAGTCTCCGACATAGATGGCAAAGACTCAGTTACTACAGCCCTCATGTGCTGTTTCCCAGGGTGTGCACAAGCAGGAGTCTGTAAGTGGACTTGGAGCTGAAACCTGAAGGCTGAGGCACTCTGATACAAGACACAGGTGTCCCAATCACTGCACCAAATGCCTGGCCCATTTGGTTCCATTTTTGTACTTTGGTTTCAATCCATCTCTCCCTACTAATGTCAATGTAACTAAAAGCCAGCTGTGCGATACAGCGGGCTCCCTGAGGGCCATGTCACTCTATGATAACACTTGACAGTGCCTGGCTGTGCCCATGCCCATTTCTTTACTTGCTTCCCTAACCTGGGAGGAAGCAGAGGGAGCTGGATGCAGGCTTCTGTGCCACCAGCAGGACAGGCATTGAGAATTCCTTCTTTCTCTGGAGCAGACATCATTAGCACTAATGTAAAATCACAGAGCATCCAGCAACAGTGGTTCTCTTGGACACGTGCTACCTCACGAACATTCTGAGGATTGCCTTGACTCTGAGTCTGTCCTTCAGCATCTTTGACAAAGTGACCAGGCTTCCCTGCCTTTATGTGGCACTTCACTTCAAAGCCCTCGCACTAGCATCGTGCCATTTAATTTTGATGAAGCTGTAATGGCTTAGTAGATTTTTTGAAATCAAATGATGAACAGACTCAGAGGAGCTAAGTGACTTACTGAAGGTCACCCAGTAAGTGGTTGGTCACAGTAGCAAACGGATGATAGATACAGCAACAAATAATACTTTTGGAGATAGCTCTAATCCTTTAAGTATGAGTAAACTTTTTGTTATTCATTTAAAGATAAAGCTCAACATGTAAATCTTTCCCTGAGAGGAAAGAAGCATTACCAATCAGGACAATGGGTCTTAATGAATTCAAAATATTGAACTAACTCTTGGCTCGTAGACTAGATTTGAGGCATAGAAGTTAACAGAAGAGTTCTACATTGAATAGATTTTTGCGAAGTTGCATACCTGTGTGAGTACATATGTCAATATCTGTTTAGACGGTTGTAAATATTTGTGTCATTCCTTAGTTGCTTACCCATTTTCTATGCTATGTTCCTGGCTGCTTCTATCTTATCCCTATACTTCAAGCCACCACAGTATTTTTAACAAAAAGGAGTGACATCTCATGCTCACATTGTCAGTTGTGATCACTAACTACAACCATTTAACCACTACTGTGCATTTGGGAATGCATGTTTTTTCAGTATGGTTCCCGGAATAGTTTAATTTTGTAGTTAGTATCTGAACCTGACATTTGTCACACACATACATGCATTTGCCTTCATTTATAAGAGCAATTATGTAGTCAATGCAAATAAATAATATAAAATAAAAATACTTCCCCTCACTGTATTAAAATGTGTGACATTTCTGGGGGCCAGCGCCGTGGCTCACTTGGTTAATCCTCTGCCTGCGGCACTGGCACCCCATATGGGTGCCAGGTTCTAGTCCTGGTTGCTCCTCTTCCAGTCCAGCTCTCTGCTGTGGCCCGGGAGGGCAGTGGAGGATGGCCTGAGTGCTTGGGCCCTGCAGCTGCATGGGAGACCAGGAGGAAGCGCCTGGCTCCTGGCTTTGGATAGGTGCAGCACCATTGTGGCGGCCATTTGGGGAGTGAACCAGCAGAGGGAAGACCTTTCTCTCTGTCTCTCTCTCTCATTGTCTGTAATTCTACCTGCCAAATAAATTTTTTTAAAAAAAGAAAATTTATAAAATACGTGAAATTTCCTTTGAGTTTCTAAGAAATTTTTGGATTTATAAGTTCTTGATAATCTCAACTATTACATATAAATCCACCTTTTACCAGACTGTAGCTTTTACCCTAGGGCTTTAGTATATTTCATAAATAGAAGAATACCAGTGTCATGCAGTGCTACTCACAGTAGCCAACATATGGAATCAACCTAGGCATCCATCGCTGGATGAACGGATTTTTAAAATGTGGTATGAATATATAATAGAATATTATTTGGACATGAAAAAGAATGAAAGCCTGACATTTACCAGAAAATGGACAAAACTGAAGATCAGGATGTTAAGTAAAATGAACAAGAAACAGAAAGACAAATACATGTTCTCTCTCATATGTGAAAGTTTAAAAAGTAGATCTGAACTCAGAATAGTGATTATGAGAAGTTTGGAGAGGTGGGGAGAAGAAGGAGGGAGGTTGGATAGTGGTTAACAAAACACAGAGAGGAATGACAAGTTTTGATGTCTCATAGGTGACCGTAGTTCACAATAATGTTTAATATACTGTATGAAGAACTAGAAGTAAGGTGCTGATAGGCTCCAAACAAAAGATAAGGAAATGAAAAAGAAAAACAATGAGAGTACAGATGGTGGAAAGAGAAGTAGGGGTAGAAGACTTCATGCACAATAGTCTATCATATGTAGCTTGGGAACAAATGGATGGTCCTCTTCACTGGGTTTCAGTGACTGAGGGTAGAAGTGATACAACAATGCAAAAAGGCACAGGCAATATCTTTCCTCAGTGGGAAAGATGACATACATAAAATGACTAGAAAGAATCATTGGCTGGCCCCAATTTCCCACATAATGTTCAATGTCTTATCTAAATGTCTCTTGGATTTTACTTGAAAAAGCATTTCACATCAATCGCTGTGTCTTTTGTAAAGTTTCTGCACATCATTTATTGAGAGCATCTCTAAGGGGAGAACTAAGGATGTCTGCTGGTGCTACAGATGATGTGGGATACAGGAATCAGAAGACTGCTTCCAAGGAAGGCGTCTGTGTAGTCTCAAAATGTCAGGATGGTCCGAATACTGAAATAGGAAAGCAAAGATACTGTTTTAACATTTAGGCAATTCACACTCTTCCACATAAGAATCCAAGGAGCATTCAGTGTCTCATTGAAAATCCATATTCCCTGCCACTCGACTCCCATCTCAGTGCATTCCTGTTGAGTCAAATAGGAGTGCAGTTCATCTTTTCTGGTTCTGTCTTGTGTTTTCTCCAGTCTTAAGCTCACTCCTCCTGCATATGACTACCATTTATAATTCAAATCTACATTTTCATCCATAAAAAATCATTTTTGACAGCCTTCAAGACTAGTGCAATAAGGAATAAAACATATGGGTAATAACATGTAATATATTCTTGCTACGTGTCATGTAAGTTGTAGATGCTTTTCAAGCATTATCTCATTTAAACCTCTATCCAATAAATGCTATGAAGAAGGTTCTTAATACACTTTTCATTTTAGAGATTATAAAAATGTATTCTTAGAGATTTTTAACTTTCTTTAGGTCACACGTCTAGTTGAGTGTGGGGATTCAAATTTAAATACAAAGTTGTACACATTATATTATATGCAACTTGCCTAAAGGAACTGATAGCTTAATAAAGACTATGTTAAAAGTAAAAAGATAACATTTTATTTACATACTAGTCAAAGGTTTAACGCTCCACTTAATAAAGAATTCAACAAGTAAAAAGTTAAAAAGACCCATTAGTCAAAAAAGACCTAGTTCAGGCAAGGCTATAAATAATAATCAAATAAAAGATGACCATTTCACTCATATGCAGTAAATTTTAAAAGAATACAGATCATTAAATCTATAGAAGTCTATCATTCTTGACCATTGATTTGACAAAGATATAAAGCAAAGTTATTTTTTTTAACTTTCTACTTGTTGAACTCTATTTAGTGGTATCTTAAGTCTGACTGTGATGTAATAAAAACACATTATCTCAAAAGCAAAGAAACAAAGAAAGAAAGAAAGGAAGAAAGAGAAAAAGGAAATAAAAGAAAAGAAGAGGGTGGGACAGAAGGGTGGAGAAAGGAAGGTAATATAATTATATTCTTAGAATTGTATCTATAAACTACATTGAATCTGTTCTCTTTGTATTAATATCACATTAACATAAAAAGTATCAGATGGTTAAAAAAAATCCACAATGTTGAAGGCTTAATAGAGCTTTGGTATAGAGATGGTTAATGATTCTTAGTAGATATAAAGTTGAATTGTATGAATTCCAAGAGACTTCACTCTTGGAAATAGAAATATAAGAAATATAACATTTATATTGAAACTAATGCCCTTTCTAAAAGCCATCTTCTGATGAATAAATACTTTTTGAAAAATATCATATTAATAACTTTAAATTTTTACATGTATATTATACATATACAAGAAAATATTTGTAAATAATTTAGAAAATACAGGACAATGTAAAGAAGACAGTAAAAATGATCTGATTACAAAATCTAGAGATAACCATTGTTAATATTTTCTTGAATTTTTATCAAAATTTTCTAGATATATATGCTTTTTTTACTGCAGTGTTGAAAATTTAGAATCACATTATACATATAAGTTTGTATTCTCTATTTTTGAGCCAAAAATAACATCATAAGAACCTCTCAATGTAATGAAATACTTTTTAATGGTTTTATTAATTCCTAATTTATGGTTAGAATTTATTTAAGCATTGCCTTAATGTTGGACTTTCAAGATGCTTCTAATTTTATGTAGATAAACAGTAAATATATTCAACCATACATGTATGCTTCCATTTTTATTATTTCTCTGTGTACAATAGACTTTTATAAGTAGAATTATTAGGATAAAGGAGCTAGGTTTTTAAAGATTTCTGATAGAAATTACCAAATTGTTTTCTCAAAAGGTTATAACAATATTGCTACAAGCAGTACATTAAAGTGCCCATGTCAGCTTATTCTTTCTTAAAATTTTTATTAATATAAACAGAACATATTTCATAGGTATAGTTCCAAGAAGACATCCACACTCCCCTCATTCCCCTCTCCCCCCAAAGCTTATTCTTATCAGTATTGAATGTTACCATTTAAAAAATTTGCTCATTATATGGTTCACTTTATTTAAATGTGTATTCAACAATGTGGCATTAATATAAAGAGAATTTAAATTGCTTAACAAAAATATTTGGTGCTCAGCTCTCTAGTTTTGGTGATCTCTAGATCAGCATCTTCCAAATATTCATGGAAAATGTGTATTACAACAATTGTAGGTGGATTTCAAAAATGTTTGTATCAAAATAAACTTATCTTTTGACTCCATTTTCCATGAACTTTTTGAAGACCCTTCATGTCTGCTGTCATCTCTACAATATAATGATAATAGTGATGACAGTAAATGATAACTAACATTTACTAACTACTGGACTTCACAGCTCTTGAGCTCATGAGAGCCAGTGCAGTTTAATAAAAAGAAAATAGATTTTGCTAACATCTACCTTTGAATCCTGGTTTCATGCCTACTATCTGCCTAATTTGGCCAGGTCACATCTTCTCTGAGTCAGTCTTCCCTTAAGATTGTGAAATGAAAGCATATCGGCAATATTTGAGAACCACATTCAATAATGAAAGTAAGACGCTTCATGGAGCACCTTGCCCTCTGTGCTTCTTTCCTTCCTCAGGACTATTTCACAGTCGGTGTATATAGTATATGTTATATGAGTGCCCAAGAAATGCTACTGAAAGTTGAAAACCTCATAACAAAAAGTTTAGGGTAGGAGAAGCAGCAGGGCTAATGGAGTTAGAGCAGGAGGTTTATTACTGACTATTGCCAGTTGTGCCTCATATACATACAGGTGACAAAACTCAGCCTATGAGATGTGTATAAGTGCGAAATCTTAAAAGTAGAAAGTAGGGGGCCGGCGCTGTGACGTTGTAGGTTAAGCCTCTGCCTGAGAGGCTGGCATCCCATATGGGCGCCGGTTCATGTCCCTGCTGCTGCTCTTTCGATCCAGCTCTCTGGTAATGGCCTGAGAAAGCAGTGGAATATGGCCCAAGTGCTTAGGCCCTTGCACCCATGTGGGAAACCCAGAAGAAGCTCCTGTTTCCTGGTTTCAAATTGGCCCAGCTCTGGCCATTGTGGTCACTTGGGGAATAAACCAGTAGACCATTCTTTCTGTCTCTTTCTGTCACTCTGCCTCTCAAATAAATAAATGATATCTTTAAAAAAAAAAGAAGTATGAAAGGCAATTTGCTTTTTTCCCCCAAGCTTTGAAGAATATATAAGATTTAAGCATTTCAAATAGCATTTTGTACTCTGACAATAACTTTCTTTATGAAAACCATATGTACATTGCAAGAAGAAGTAAAAATCACAGTATTAAAATGAAAAACTGGCAATATCTTTATAAATCTATCCCATTGTAGTTCCACCTACTCTTATAATGCAGATTTGGAGGATATTCTGAATAGAATTTAAATTTACAGAAATTGACAATCAGCCTCTGTGACCAGCCAGAGGCTTCAGTAACTCCATAATGTAATTATCATGGTCTGATTCTCTTTCTAGCAAGGACGAGTATTCTATCATACAGAAATCTGAGTGGTTCTGATCATCAGACCTCTGTAACCAACAGCATTTGGCTTTAGCAGAATAGGAAATGCAAAGCAGTAGTTCTTAGCTTCTAACAATATGTTCTTAGATGTTCTACCTTGAAAGACTGAATGGTAAAGGAAAATGAAGCCACTCCAATTTTTTCTCATCCTTCCACATTTTCATTCTATGTTATCCAAACTTCAACCATGAAAGAAAACTTAAAATCTACCTCTTCCCAGAGCGAAGCAGGTCAAATCCTTCATTTATTTTTTCAAAAGGTAAAACATTGGTGATTAATGGATCCAATGAAAACTTCTTAGCCATAAAATCAGCCACGAGTTTGGGGACAGAATCTTTACTCTTAAAGCCTGAAAAGAAGACAGAGCCATTGTTAGATTCAGCCAGAAGTAGGAGAACTGGACTGTCAACTTTTCAGATAGAATAAAATGAAAGCTTATAAAAGTATTGAATACACATGCTGCTATTGTTGAGGTTAGTAGAGAGATAGTGCTTCAGTATCCTTTTCAGGGCCTTAATTATTTTTCAGTACCTCCAGATCAACCAGGGTGCTGAGTTCTTAGCTCTTTCATGGAGAAATTATGGCACAGATGATTATGCCCAAAGTCAAGGGGCAAATGTAGAGGTTGTCTAAACTTGGGCAATGAATGCTGTCATGAATTATTGCCACAGATTTTCTATGTCCTACTAGGAATGTTGGTGCCTTATCCAGTCACAAAAATAAAGAGATGGGGCTGAAATGTCCTTGTTAGTTTATGAGGACTCCAGGAAATCTGTCTTAGGATCCCTTCTTTCCATTTGTTCCCTGTCTGGCTTTGGAGCCTGTAGATACAACAGGAAGTCAAGTTTATGTTTGATGATGACTGCTTTTCAAAACCTGACCTTGTCACTTGTAAAAGCCAAGAAATTCTAAGACTTTTCTCTCCCATTGGCATCTCACATGAGCATCTCACATGAGCACCACTTTGAGTCCCAGGTGCTCCATTTCTGATCCAGCTTCCTGCTAATTGCACCTGGGAAAGCAGCAGAAGATGGCTCAAGAACTTGGGCCCTGTCATGTATATGAGAGACACAGATGGAGTTCCTGGGTCCTGGCTCTGGCAGTTGGGGAGTGAACCAGTGGATGGAAGATCTGTCTCTCTTTCACTCTCCCTTTCAAATAAATGTTTTTTAAAAAAAAAAGACTTTGCTCTCCAAGCTTAAGTACATACCACCAAAAATTGCTCCTTTCCAGGTGCGTCCACTCAGTAGCAGCATAGGGTTCACTGTGAGGCTTTGGGAATCAGGAGGTACCCCTACAATGACACTTGTCCCACATGCCCCGTGACAGCTTAACAGGGCAGCAACCTGGAATAAAATCAGATTTAGCATCATTAAAGTCAATTCTCTGATAGCTCCTACTTTTGATAGTATGCTGTAATATTGAATTAACTAGATTGTGTGTGTGTGTAGAGGAAAGGGGTTATGTCCTTTGCTTCTTTATTCTCCATGGCGTATGGAACAGTGCCATAGTGCAGTGGCTTTAGAAAACGCCCTGAAAATATTTTTTGAAAAAAAGAACGAGTGTGTATTTCCCTCCTCCTTACAAAGTAATAAAGAGGCAAATATTATTATAAGCATGTAAGGGTATAAAGACTGCTTTATCACACTGATAGGTCTAAGAGTCAAAGGGATCACACAAACAAGACCAGTGTCTGCTAATACTAGCTGATAGAATCAAAAAGGGAGAGAACAATCCATCATGGGAAGTGGGATACACAGTAGACTCATAGAATGGCAGATGTCCTAAACAGCACTCTGGCCTCAGAATCAGCCCTTAAGGCATTCGGATATGGCTGAAGAGCCCATGAGAGTATTTTAGGCATGGAAAGCCAAGACACTGTGGCAAAAAAAAAAAAAAAAAAAGACCTAAATGAAAGATCTCTGTAAGTGAGATCCCAGTAGAAAGAACGGGCCATCAAAGAAGGAGGTACCTTTCTCTGAAGGGAGGAGAGAACTTCCACTTTGACTATGACCTTGTCTAAATAAGATAGAAGTCAGCGAACTCAAGAGGCTCCCATAGCCTTGGCAACTCATGACTAGAGCCTAGGGAGATTTCTGACACCATAAACAAGAGTGTCAAATTGTTAAGTCAACAACAGGAGTCACTGTGAACTTACTGCTCATGTGGGATCTCTGTCCTTAATGTGTTGTCCAATGTAAATTAATGCTGTAACTAGTACTCAAACAGTATGTTACACTTTATTTTCTGTGTGGGTTCAAACTGATGAAATCTTTACTTAATATATACTAAATTGATCTTCTGTATATAAAGATAATTGAAAATGTATTTTGATGTGAATGGAATGGGAGAAGGAGTGGGAGATGGGAGGGGTGAGGGTGGGAGGGAAGTTATGGGTGGGGGGGGAAGCCATTGTAATCCATAAACTGTACTTTGGAAAATTATATTTACTAAATAAAAGTGTTTTTTTTTTAAAAAAAATACTGCTTCCTCAATCAAAGACTGTTTCCTTTGATTATCACATGATTCTTGGGCAATCTATGAGTTGGTTAATGCATTATTCATTTATTTGTAAGCAGGTGTTTTGAACCAGGGACTCTGAAAAATATAATGATTATGTCATCAAAACTCTCTTGAATTTTCTCATCTCCCTTTCCAATGGATCCCCATTCTGTTCACTTCTAAGATGGACATATTTGAGTGTTATTTTTATCTTCACAAAATGTATATTGGCTTTACTGTAAACTTAAGATTTTATGAAATCTTAAGACTGTCCAGAAATCCATCCATCTCCAAAAGGGTTTGGGGACATATTCTGTAGTAAGGAAATTATTTGGGCTTCCCACGTTACATGATGGTTAGTCCTTTTATTTTGTTGTATGACATTTGGAGATCAGATATCCTCAGAACACATGGCTAGCAGGAATTGGTGTCATAAGGTAAAGTCACAATCTAGTTCTATGAGGGAAAATGTAAAAGGAGCAAAAGAAAAAAAGCTATGATGTGGGAAGAGCTGGATTCTGTTGGAACTTCAATCATTTTATGGTATATTGTCCTAGAGCAGGGATGTAAAAAATTTTACTCGCAGGTCACTTCTTCCTTTGATTATGGTACCAAGACTGCTGGAACTTATTGGATAACTTCAACAGTGGGGACGTGTTGGTTTCTGGAAACTTTTAGCATAGGACTAAAGATTTTAGATTAGGAGAATTATAGCTGGAGATTTCTCCTATGGCAACTGATGACATTTGTAGTTATATGAAAGTAATATCCTGTATTTTCTAAATGTAATGTCTGTAAGATTAGGAACAAAATTTCCTACCAGTAATAGCAGCTGGCATTTATTGAAAGTTTACAGATTACAGATGACATGTGATAAGAATTTTACATGCATTATCTCATGTCACCTATAAGCAAAGCCATGGACCACAGTGGGTGGTAAGAGCTGTTGAATTTTTTTTTCTTTTATTTAATAAATTTAAATTTTGAAAGTACAACTTTTGGATTATAGTGGCTTTTTCCCCCATAACCCCACTCCCACCCGTAAACCATCCCATCTCCTACTCCCTCTTCCATCCCATTCTTCATTAAGATTCATTTTTAATTATATTTATATACAGAAGATCAATTTGGTATATATTAAGTAAAGATTTCAACACAAGATTTGTAATCTGTAGAATCAAAGATTTTACACCCACACAGATACACAAAGTATAAAGTACTGTTTGAATAGTAGTTTTACCGTTAATTCACATAGTACAACACATTAAGGACAGAGATCCTACATGGGGAGTAGGTACACAGTGACTCCTGTTGTTGATTTAACAATTGACACTCTTATTTTTGATGTCAGTAATCAGCTGAGGCCCTTATCATGAGCTGCCAAGGCTATGGAATCTCTTGATATATAACATATATATGTGTGTGTGTGTGTGTGTGTGTGTGTGTGTGTGTGTGATATATCATAACAACTCCGAACTTATTTAGACAAGGCCATAATCAAAGTGGAAGTTCTCTCCACCCTTCAGAGAAAGGTACCTCCTTCTTTGATAGCCCATTGTTTTCGCTGGAATCTCATTCACAGAGATCTTTCATTTAGGTCATTTTTCTGCCAGAGTGTCTTGGCTTTCCATGCCTGAGAAACTCTTGTGGGCTTTTTAGCTGGATCTGAATGTCTTAAGGACTGATTCTGAGGCCAGAGTGCTGTTTAGGGCATCTGCCATTCTGTGAGTCTGCTGTGTATCCCACTTCCTATGTTGGATTGTTCTCTCCTTTTTAATTCTATCAGCTTTTATTAGCAGACACTGGTCTTGTTTGTGTGATCTCTTTGAGATTTAATCCTATCTTTATGATCGATTATGAACTTAAACTGATCACTTTGACTGGTAAGATGGCATTGGTACATGCCACCTTAATGGGATTTGGAATCCCATGGCATGTTTCTAAAGAGCTGTTGAATTTTAAAAGAAAGACATAGATCCTGGGTGTGGGCTCTGGGCCAGGCACTGTGCTCTCTCTAGTAAAATATAGTGTTAAAGCAGTCATTTTCTGTGGGGTATATTTTTCATTAATAAAATAATACTTGGCCTGAAATTGATCATTATTCATTTTATCCAACTAATAAAATGTGAAAATATATTGGGATTCATTAAAACATATAAAACTTGTTAAATCATCTTTATAATATTGTGGAGGGAAAAGAATATGTGTTGCTTATATTTACTTGATTTTGTTTTTTTTTCTAAAGATTAATTTGTTAACTTGTAATGGGTCAATTAAAAACACTTTTTTTCTTTAAAGGGGAAATATTCTTCAGACAGTTTTGCTTAGCTGCTGGAAGAAAAATTTCTCATAACAATAAGTTAAATAATTCAGATAAAAAACAGGAGATGGAAAATTACCATATATCAGCCTAATTCTTAATATGTAATAATTATATTTTATTGCTAAAACAGCAGATTCCAGATTACAGAGGCAGAAATCTCAAGGCATGTCACAGTACATACCACGGTATCAAGTCGACCGATCACTTCAAATGAAAAATCCACTCCTCCATCGCTTATCTCCTGTATCACCTCCTGGATGGGTTTCTTATAGTCTTGAGGGTTGATGCACTCAGTGGCACCCACCTCTTTGGCCTTTGGAAACTTGTCTTTGTTAATGTCCACTGCAATGATCCTGGATGCCCCAGCTGCTTTACAGCCCATGATAACAGAGAGGCCAACTCCTCCCAGGCCAAACACAGCACAGGTGGAGCCTGGGGTGACCTGTGTTTTTAGAAAATGCAAAATGGATTAAGTGATGATTGTTCGAAAGTCACTAAGCTATGAAGTGCAGTGCCTTGTCTGCTACTAGGAGCTACTCATATTCTTAAATCCAACCCACTGTCAAAACCTCTTCTTTTTTGCTTCATGTTTAATTTGGGGAGCATTGAACTGGATAATGGTTCTCAAACTTTCCTGTATATGAGACTCATCTGGGGAGCTTTACAAAATCCCATTGCCCAGCTGTGCCAATTAAATCAGAATCTATGTAGGCAGAATCTATCCCCACATGACTCCAGTTGGAAGCCAGGCTAGAACAGTGGACTGGATGATCTTTGAGTTTGAAATATCAGTGACTCCATTCATGGCAAGAACCTCAATGGTTCAAATCCATTGACAACTCCCTTCAGTATCTCATATGTACACAGAAGCAATTTTTGGGAAATGAAATAAGTGGAAAAAAAATAAGTGGACAGGGTCATGCCAAGTGACTGAAAATAACCCAAATCCAACCCTCAAAAGTTAAATCCTTTTTTTGGTTCATTGACTTTCATTTGTCATAAGCAGTAAAATGAGAGCCAAAGTTAGCTGTGAAACACAGACAAGTTATCCTTGATTCAAAGCAAAACCGAAACAATAGAGGAAATCCAACATATAACTTTAAGATAATACACTTTGAGACCAATGTGATCTTCATGGATCTTGAGCTTTGATTTTTAAGTCACATAAATGAACAATAATGCAATGAAAAGATGTTCTAAATTTTAATAATGACCAAAATCCATTAATGTGATTCCCCTTAGCTTCTAGTTTGTGTTTAGGCTCACTTATACCACCTGCTAAAACAGATGAAGCAATAACACAAGGGAGTTAGGGATAAAGTAACAGAAAAACGGGAAAGACATGTTCTAAATTGCTTAAATTGTCTAAAGACTGTTTAATAAATCTAGTCTTCTGTAGTCATCCTTCAGGGTAGATAAAATACTCCTTTTGTCCTCAGTAATTTTATTGTTATATTCCCTGTGAGTGTCTATTTACTTGTTCATTCACCAAATGTTATTAAGTACCAGAATAGGAACGGGCACTTAGAACACCCATATCTCATGCTGGATTGCCTGGGTCAGAATCCCAGCTCTCCTCTGATTCCAGTTTCCTGAAAGGCAGCAGGTGATAGCTCAAGCGTTTAGTCCCTGACACCAATTTGGGAGTCTCGGCTTGAGTTCTGGGCTCCTGGCTTGGCTGGGTCCAGCCTTAGCTGTTGTGGGCATTTAGGGATGAACAAATCAATGGATGGAAGATTTCTGTTTCTGTCTCTGTCTCTCTGCCTTTCAACTAAATAAAAATGAATACCTAAAAACAATTCAACAAGATACAAAAACTACTTTCTACCATAACTGGAAAAAATGCAGGGCTTGTGATTGTTAATTTGAAAGTGTTGGTAATTAAGTATTATGATTTAAAATTCAGCAGGAGATCTGAGGAAGTTATTCTCATCCTCACTCTCAAACTAACCAGCTATGACATGTTGCGAAAATATTTTTAAGTCTCTGGATCTCAATTTCGTAAAATGAAGGATGCTACTAGATTTTCAACCCCTTAGGAGAAAAAGACTTCACATAATTTCTCCTTGAGATTTGCTGAAGTGTGTGCGTGTGTGTGTGTGTGTGCCGTGTGTGTGTGTGCGTGTGTGTTCATAGCAGGGAGGAGATGTGGCAGTAAAATTCCATAATCAATGAATTATACATATCGCTAAAGCTTCATTAATTCCTTCCTAGGAATCCAAATGATAAATGACCCTTGTTTTAATAGTTTACAGACAAGGCTTTGGAATCTACTGTTGATCCTACTTCTGGGAGTAGGGACTAAAACATCCTCAAGGGAAAGTCCTTCGCTTCCTTCACTTTTGTTGCCTCAGAGTCTAGCAGAACCAACTGTGCCTGATGCATGCACAGGTGCTTTCTAATTATAGAATCATGACTAAATGAGTTCCAAGACCTAATATTTAATAATCTTATAAATAACAAATACATGTAGAAAATAATTATTAAAAATGAAATATTTACTTTTTCTTAACTATCAAGAGCTTTTTCAACTGTAATAAGCAGGTGAATTTTCTAAGACATGCTCCCAAATTTCTTCCAGAACTATAGTTCTATTCACAACCAACGCCTCCCAAATGTTTGAAAAAATCTCTAATTCCCTAAGAAATTGCTTCCCTTTTTATTTCCTGACAGCCTGAGTAGAACCGGTTTTATTGGCTGCTGTCATTCCTACCTTGGCAACTTTGACTGCCGACCCATAACCAGTTGAAAATCCACAGCCAATGAGGCAGACTTTCTCCAGTGGTGCAGCTGCATCAATTTTGGCCACTGCAATCTCATCCACCACTGTGTACTGGGAGAAGGTGCTGGTGCCAATGAAGTGGTGGATGGGCTTCCCCTTGCAGGTGAACCTGCTGGTGCCATCCAGTAGCATCCCCTTCGGCTTGCCCAGACTGCTCAGGGCAACACAGAAACACACAAGGACATGAGACCAGATCATAACTAATATGAAAACTCATTGGCTGTGCAAAGAGTATCAGAAACCTACTCATTTATCAAACAGAAGTTGCTTTCTGGGTGTTTACAAATTCTGCATTTTCCACACTGGGGAGTAAACAGCGGGATGACTTTATCACCTGGAGAGGGATAAAACAAATCCTTCTTAGATTTCTATACAGGAATTAATAAAGCAAGAATACAAAGCTTATATCTATACGTTAGACGTGTGTGTCTTTGAAGTCTCCAAGAAATAAGGTCCAAATACAACTGTCATCCATCACTGTCAGCATTGTCATCAGTTTGGGTTTATTTGTGCCTGAAGACTCCCACAGAGGAAATACAGATGTGGAAAGAAACATGGATTTTAAAAATTACTTCCACTGTCTTAATTCTTAACTTTTGCATACTCTGATTTCTGCTGGGGACCTTATACTCATAATTTCATTTAATCTTTCATTAATTCAAGCTTAAATATTCCCCCTCTAAGCACAAATCTTAGTTGCAAGGAAGCTACCACACCTCCACTACATGTTGAGGAGACTTGGCTTTTGTTGTAGCATAGGTTATAGTAAAAATGAGAATTTCAACAACCAATTCTTGACTTTTCAAAGTGATTCCGCTCATCTTTACTATGAACTGAATAAGAAAACAATCATTGGGCGGGGGAGGGAACTAACAAAAATGCGACAAAGAATTCAAAAATCTCCTTTGAAACCCTTAATTCTCAAAAATGGATTAGGGATTTTCTTTTAAGATAAGACCTGACTTTCAAATGTTTTTAGCTGATAGTTTATGAATTATCTATTTTTTCTGCTTTAATTATTTAAGTTACTATCCCTCTAGACCAGGAAAAATGCTCCCTTACATTTTATAGGCAAACTTTATGAAGGGATGATGACATGGACATTTTCTATTTATTCACCCTTTCCCCATAAAACATTACTAGTAATATCCATTAGATGTGAATAAAATGAATATTAAGGATAAAATAATTAGTGATTTGTAACCAGTCACAGTTAGCCCTGGCTAAAGGTAACAAAGCAGATGTTGCTTATGGCCAAATACTTTCTATTATGTTTCTTTCAGTTCCTTCCACCTAGTGTGTTTCATTTGTTCCATGTTCAAGAAGGGAGGCCATATTGGAAAAGGAAAATCTCTTCCCATCTGGGAAAAGATCGTATTGATTCAGTCATAGCCTAACAGCCCAGGTTCTGTGAACTCAGCACAGGACCAAGTCCACGCACTGATCTACAGACTCAGGACCAAGGCTATGCTTTTTCCTTTGTCCCAATTGTAGTTCTTTTTGTGCTTTATGGAAGACAGAGCTCAGCAACACTAGAATGTATTAACTCCACGCTGGCAGGTGCTGTGTGTCTTTTGGTCTTCATGTAATCCTCAGACTGGTGCCTGACATCTAGAATGGATACTCAAAACATAATTACTGCAGGAGAGAATTTCTAAATGCCTGAATGCATACATGACTGAGTTAGGCAGGGAGGGAAGGTGGGGAGCCCTCAAGTTCCAGCTTGCTTGTGAACTTGTGCAAGTTTTTTCATCTGTCATGGCCTCTGTTTCCTATTTGACCTCGATGCCCTTGGGATCTTGAACCAAGTCACCTTCCCTGAGTGGAAATTCTTTACCTGGTTTTACTGTTGTCACCCCCTCTCCAATGCTCTCCACAATGCCAGCTGCCTCATGGCCTAAAATCACAGGGAGAGGAACCGCAATGCTTCCTGTAACCGCGTGGTCATCTGAGCGACAGATTCCTGTGGCCACCATCTAAAGAGAAGAGGGTTAGATTCGGAAGAAGATTTGATCCTCTGACGGATTTTACCATTTCTGGAAAGTGGGCTTCTAAAGAGTTTTGCTAATAATCCCTGCATTTCCCAAATATGAAAGAGTCAGTTGATTTCCAAGTCTAAAGCCTTTCACATCTAGTCTACCTTCATTCCTTGACGTAAGCCATTTATAATAATTTATGAAATAACTTTTCTTGACAATTATCTTATGTAATAGACAAGAATGTGTGATTTTTGTGAAAATATAAGTTGCATAGTAACACCAAGAAATCACCCAATGTTGATCAGTTTTGAAATCTTGTACCATTTTTTACAAACACATACATTCTTTCTTATTTATTGGGATTATACTGTACATATTCTTTGGTCACTGGCACTATGGCCTAGTGGGCTAAGCCTCTGCCTGTGGCATTGGGATCCCATATGGGTGCCAGTTCAAGTCCTAGCTGCTCCTCTTCCACTCCAGCTCTCTGCTATGGCCCAGGAAAGCAAGTACTTGGGCCCCGACATCCGCTTGGGAGACCCTGGAAGAATTTCCTGGCTGCTGGCTTTGGATCAACCCAGCTCTGGCTGTTACAGTCATTTGGGAAGTGAACCAGTAGATGGAAGACCTTTTCCTCTGTTTCTCCTTTGCTTTCTCAAATAAATAAATAAGAAATCTTTAAAAAATCTTTAAGAGTATATATGTACACCTTTCCTTAACAACAAATCTAATTATGTTGTCTGGATGAACACATATTAAGTACTACTTAATGGATCTTTGGGTTTTTCCAGTTTGAATATTTTCTGAAATTTTTAAAACTAAAACTTTATAGAAATATAAAAATGTTTCACCTTAATGCGAACTTCATGGGCCTTCGGGGGTGCAACCTCCACCTCCTCGATGGAAAAGGGTTTGTTTAGCTGCCACAGCACAGCTGCTTTGCATTTTATTACCTGTAAAATCAAGCAGAAGTCTGTACCCCCATGTTCATCTCAGCTCAATTTGCAACAACTAAGATATGTGATCAACCCAGATGTCCATCAACTGAAGACTGGATAAAGAAATTATGGAATATAATACACTATCGATTACACAGAGCTTTAAAAAAATGAATCCTTCCATTTGCAAGAAAATGGATGCAACTGGAAACCATTATGCTTAGAGAAACAGGCCAGTCACAAAAAGACAAATGCCATATGGTCTCTCTGACCTGTATTAACTAATAGAGTACCTAAAATGTAATCTGTAGGAGGGAAACTGACACGTTGAGAGGTGATGATTTTGAACAATCCTTGCCTTGCCTGTCAAGGAACAGTATTGTTTTGGTTGGATGGTTGTTTGGTTTTGTTGTCTTCTTCATACTAATCAGTGAACCCTTTACTTAATTTAGGGTTAATTTTATGAGTATAAAAATTAACTGAGGGGATGGTGATGTGGCATAGCAAGTAAAGCCGCTGCTTGCAGTGCCGACATCCCATATGGGCGCCGGTTCAAGACACGACTGCTCCACTTCTGATCCAGCTCTCTGCTACGGTCTGGGAAAGCAGTGAAAGATGGCTCAAGTGCTTTGCCCCTGCATCTGCGTGGGAGACCCAGATGAAGCTCCAGGCTCCTGGCTTTGGATTGACGCAGCTCTGGCTGCCAGTTGGGCCAGTTGCGGCCAGTTGGGGAGTGAACCAACGGAGGGAAGACCTTTCTCTCTATCTCTACCTCAATCTGTGCCTCTGCCTCTCTGTAACTGCGACTTTCAAATAAATAAATAAATCTTTTTAAAAATTAACTGAAAAATTGATCTCTGTAAAAAATAAGAATGGGAAAGGGAGAGGGAAGAGGAAGAAAAGTGGCAGTAGAGTGGGAGGGAGGTAGAGGGGAAAGAATCATCATGTTTCCAAATCTGTATATATTCAGTGCATGAAGTTGAGAGCTCTTTTTAGAGATAATTGACATAATTGCAAATATGACAAAATTTCCAGTAAAACTTATTCTTCTGAGAGTTCATTTTCATAATGCATTTTTCAAATCCTTCAACTTTGAAGTGTGTTCACCAGCATCAGCATCAAAATAAATATTAGGGGTGGGTGTTTGGCCTAGTAATTAAATCACCAGTTAGGATGCCCACATCAAGTATACCTGGGCTCAACACTTGCCTCTCTACCTCCTGATTCCAGCTTCCTGCTAATGGGGACCCTAAGAAACAGTGCTGTTGGATCAAGTGGTTGGTTCCCTCTACCCATGTGAAAGGCCTGGATTGAGCTACTGGTTTTGGCCACCATGCTATGGTGTTTCAGGAATGAACCAGTGGATGGAGCTCTCTCTCCATTAGTGTACTTGATGTTGATACAATTATAATATCTACTTATGATTATCAGATGCTTGTGATGTGGCAGGTACATTGTAGTCTGTACTGTAGGCTGAGTTATGTGCTATATCTTTTTTTTTTTTTTTTGACAGGCAGAGTGGACAGTGAGAGAGAGAGAGACAGAGAGAAAGGTCTTCCTTTGCCATTGGTTCACCCTCCAATGGCCGCCGCGGCACACTGTGCAGATCCGAAGGCAGGAGCCAGGTACTTATCCTGGTCTCCCATGGGGTGCAGGGCCCAAGCACTTGGGCCATCCTCCACTGCACTCCCTGGCCACAGCAGAGAGCTGGCCTGGAAGAGGGGCAACCGGGACAGAATCCGGGGCCCTGACCAGGACTAGAACCCGGTGTGCCGGCGCCACAAGGCGGAGGATTAGCCTAGTGAGCTGCGGCACCAGCCATATATGCTATATCTTTAAACCCAGCAAGGTTGGGTATGTTGAATTATTTGCCTTTCTTTTGGATGAAAAGACTGAAGCTCAGCTGACTCAGTGAGTAATTTTCTAAAGTCTCAAATTGGCTGTCTAGAGAATTAAGATAAATCAAACTTTACCTTTTCTTCACCTCAGAGTAGTGAAAAGTCAATGAAAAGCTAAACAACAATATCAATAGTAGCAATGACTCACATGTATTGACTCATTCTAAGTGCCTTATAGTATTTATTTAGTAAATTCCCACAACCACCTCATGAGATCAGTGTTCCTGCTATCACTATTTATCACCTGAGAAAAATAAAAGGCAAGATTTGTTAACATAGTTTAAGTACTATCAATAGGCTAAGTTACTGATGTTGTGCCTGAGAGGGGAGGATTGCTAGATTACTATTTCTCTGCGTGTTGTTTTTGTTAATATAATTGGCTTACACCTTTACTGTATGAATTCAACATTTCTTCTAAGTGAGTTTGGGTAAATTTCCATTTTGTTCTCCTAATCATTTTCACTTGAAATATAATATGCCATTGTAAATACCCATCAATAATAAATGGAAATAAAATGAGCTGGAATAAGAACACTGGCAATTGGCCACTCACATGATTCCAGCCGGTGCTATTGATATGAACCTGTTGTTTAGAAGCTTCAAAACCTTTAAGCATTATACTTGGATATTCCACTACTGTGTCATCTGTTCTGAACACAGCAAGTGTACTTGCAAGCAGTTGCATTGGCTTTTGTAATTAAGCAGTTAAAAACATGAGCTGATTATTTTGAAAGACCCAATCCATTTCTCTGCACTTATAATCACATTCCTCAAATAAGTATCAATCTATGAAAGACTTAAAACAAAATATCTTTGTAACTAGTATTAGTAAGTGATTCAAATTTTCTGCAAAATGTGTTCATTTTCTGTAAAATCATGTTGACTTTTGTATGGAGAAGATACTGTTCTATAGAATATCTGTAGAACTTGCAAATTAGTATTATCTAACTGTGATGATCATAATGGCTTGAGATAATATATCTTGTAAGAGACTTTATAATAAAGGATATTTCAATGTGCTCTGAAATAAGTTCCTCTCATAAAACTGTCATACTTAATTTCCCTGCATTCAGACAAAGAATATAATTACAAAGAGTACCACATTAAAATTACAGTTTCTTAACATAAATATAACTTCTTGATTAAGTATGTCTAATTATATATTTGCAAGCTAGTCATAGTTATCTTAGAATAAACCCACAAATTATTACAAACTTATTTAATGTATGAATAAAGACTAATAGATACAGATCCTATGTATTTTTAATAAAGATATTTAGGAATAACTTATTTCCACTGCAGTTCAGTACACATTGTAAATTGTAGCACATATTTTATATTGTATTTCAGTGTACATTATTTCTAATTCATATATGAATTTTAACTCTTCAACAAATACCATGTCCTGTTATTTATGATATTAATGAGACTATAGTTCCAACAGTAAAATCTTTTTTGCTTACTTTTCCTGCTGTGCTCATGTTGTTTCTGTTTTCTCTGCAGAACAGGAGACTGGTGAATTCTTGTGGACTTCTTGCCTGCTCTAGTACATGAAGCCAATATATTGCACAGATTGTTTGCTCAAGTGCCACCCAGTTTGCACATGATCTCAGTCCTTAAGCCACACCTTATCAGCTTATTGTCACACTAAATCAAACCAGAAAAAGAAAAAAAAGGCACTCAAAACCTTGATTCAAAACTGATTTTGCAATATATCATTGCAGATAATACTTTGTTTTTATTAGGTTAAATATTTCCCTACACGTAAATTTTAATCTATCTCTCTGTCTCTGTCTCTCTCTGTCTCTCTCTGTCTCTCTCTTACTCTCTCTCCCTGGTGATTCCATGTTTCTCCTCTCTCAATCCCACTGAGGTTATTCCGAGTTCTATTTCCCTCTGTCTGCTCCAATTGCCAACTGTGAATGCACGTGGTGCAGCTGGGAAGGAGGAGAAGAAGGGGGAGCAGGACACCTGGAGCAGGACAGAAGGATATAGGACTGGAAGAGCACGTTTGATCCAGCTCTCTTCTTCTCTCCAGAGAGGAAATTAGGCACCCACTCTGTCCTAGCAAAGGTGCTCACTTGTCCCTGGTATTTCTGCTCCACACAACATCAGTCAGCATCGACTAATCACCTCCCTGTTCCAAGCACTGAACTGGTGCCCTTGGGTGACATGTACCAGTGCCAATAGGCAACATGGGGCAATGGGTATTGTATAACTTGTGGATCTAACACATGATTCCTTGCTATCTGTGTGAACTTGAACTTATTGAACTGCTCCTCCTCTTAGTTTTCTTATAAGACTAGAATGAATAATAGTACCAGTTCAAAGGACTGTTTGGTGCATAAATGAAAAAAAAAAAAAACAAGTTAAGCACTTATCACAGAGCTTGGCAGGTAGGAAACTCACCATCCAGGGAGGAGAAAGGCACACAAGCAAGCAAGTCAGCCTCTCTGGGCAGAGCTTATTAAAGGCAGGGCATTCAGACTGAAGGACTCAAAGGAGGCTTCATAAAGAACAGCCCTTTGTGTTAGGGCCCAAGGATTGTCTTGGCAAATAGACCAAATGCTCACTTAGGCCTTTCCCTATCCCTTGTTCAGGGCTTTGAATATGGAAAGAGAATATGGGCTTAATTTTTAATAAATCTCAAATCTTCTGCCAACACCTGGAGGCCACAATGCACATAGTCATGTAATGATTTATAGTCTGTCAGCATACACACAAAAAATATATATTTATCTAGACTTGCCAAAGGAGCAACATTGTGTCTGTGTCCACCTATACTTATGCAGGTACAGAGAGCCATCCTGGGGTGTTCCATTCCACCAAGCAGGGACAGAAGGTCTTTCATTTCTTTGTTGTGGTCTTAAACTCATTGCATAGGGGTTGGCACTGTGGTATAGTGGGTTAAGCCTCCGCCTGAGGCACTGGCATCCCATATGGGCGCCAGTCCATGTTCTGGCTGCTCTTCTTCTGTTCCAGCTCTCTGCTATTGCCTGGGAAAACAGTGGAGGATGGCGCAAGTGGTTGGCCCCTGCATCCACATAGGAGACCCAGAAGAAACTCCTGGCTCTTGGCTGCTGATTGGCCCAGCTCCTGCCATTGTGGCCATTTGGTGAGTGAACCAGCGGAGGGAATACCTTTCTCTCCTCTCCCTCTCTCTGTCTGTAATTCTACCTCTGAAATAAATAAGTAGAATCTTTTTTTCATTTCATTGGCATCACTTCCAGAGAATGGCATTCAGTCTCCTCTCGCATCCACCTACCTTCACTTGTGGAGACCATTGCAAAGAAGGGAGTCTGGCCACTTAGCATATGATCTGGATAGTATCAAGGATGCTGCTTGTCCAGATCCATTTGAAGGACTCTTTAGTGTGTTTGCATGGTGATAGACAGGCATGAAAAGATGGCAAAGAACCATTTCATTTCTTAATAAATCAATGTTAGTTGAGGTATAAGTTTACAGAAAGCTACTGACCACAATTTATTGAGCACCTACTATGTCTCCAGAACTCTATGGGAAGTTATTCCTGCATTTTCATGTATAAACCCCAGATCACCCTTACAAGGAAGGTATTACTGTTATTTTTCCCACTTTACAGATGAGGTAAGAGAAGCCCAATTGTTATAGGTCCCTAAATGTCCTTCCTAAGACAGAGAAGTTAGCTTCAAGAACAGAATTGTATTCAGGATAATGTTAATAAGAGTTTTACAGTGAAAATTGGGAAATCGCATTAGCATAAAAGGATAAGAAGTGGGTACTGTGTCTTAACTAACTGCCTATCAGGAGCTAACTGACTGACTGTCTCACATTTTCTCTCTCCTCCCCCCATCCCTTCAGTAGACCCTGGGCCCAATTCTTCTTTGTCTAAATTAGAGCCTTTCAGTCACTCAGTGGGGTCAAGTGTGCAGCCTAAGTCAGATGTCTGGCCACAGAACAATCATTTCAGATCAGAGGGCTGAGGTTATGTGAGTATAGGAAACCATCCTGAAATGCGCTGGGAAAATGGTATGCAGTGGCAGAATCCCAAGTCACATCTGTGTGACTCAGAAGCCCACATTCTGTCGTCTACTCTGCAAAAGGAGGCCGGGCAGAGAAGGGTTGGAGTGAGCTATAGAGCTGTCTGCCCACAAAGGCCACCCCCACATTTTGCAAGGCCTAAGAAAAAGCACAGGAATTGGCAAGTGCTCAGAAATCATTCTGTCCAAATTCCTTCGTTTATAGGTCAAGGGACTTGGCAATATAATATGGTTAATATTTACTTGAAAGATATTTGGAAAGAAAAAAAAAAACATGTAGCTTCTTGTGAGTGCAAAGAAAGGCTTTCAAATATTATAGGATTTAAACAGGGGGAAAAAGCACAAGATTTCAGTTGCTGGAACACCGTGTTTAATCTACCCAAATCCATCGCTATAAATCAAGTCCTTACTTAACATTTCATTTTAACATTAAAGCCAAAGTTGGTGAGAAAAATTAGTTACCGCCTCTCCCACAATTTACAACATGGGTTGCCAGCCTAGCTCTTGATGCTATCATAAAGAGCTTGTATAGAATCTTGGAAATGTTTTTTGTAGATTTCCCCAAGAATGCTCACAAAGAAGCCCAAAGGCAGAGCTGTACAGATATTCTTGGCTCTGAGTGTTCAAACTCAAAAATTTAAATGTTCAGCAAACATTTTTGTGAAATGCTGTACATTAGTATGACGAAGTGCTAGGCAACTGACCAGGTTTAAGAACATGCAGAGAGCCGGCGCCGCAGCTCACTAGGCTAATCCTCCGCCTCGCGGCGCCGGCACCCCAGGTTCTAGTCTCCGTTGGGGCACCGGACTCTGTCCCGGTTGCCCCTCTTCCAGGCCAGCTCTCTGCTGTGGCCAGGGAGTGCAGTGGAGGATGGCCCAAGTGCTTGGGCCCTGCACCCCATGGGAGACCAGGATAAGCACCTGGCTCCTGCCATCGGATCAGCGCAGTGCGCCAGCTGCAGCGCGCGGGCCGCAGCGGCCATTGGAGGGTGAACCAATGGCAAAGGAAGACCTTTCTCTCTGTCTCTCTCTCTCACTGTCCACTCTGCCTGTAAAAAAAAAAAAAAAAAAAAAAAAACCATGCAGAGAGTGAGATCCCAGTGGAAAGAACGGGGCCATCAAAGAAGAAGGTACCTTTCTCTGAAGGGAGGAGAGAACTTCCACTTTGACTAAGATCGAAGTCGGTGAACTCAAAAGGTTTCCAGAGCCTTGGCAACTCATGACTAGAGCCTAGGGAGATTACCACAAACAAGAATGTCAAATTGTTAAGTCAACAACAGGAGTCACTGTGTACTTACTGCTCATGTGGGATCTCTGTCCTTAATGTGTTGTCCAATGTAAATTAATGCTGTAACTAGTACTCAAACAGTATGTTACACTTTATTTTCTGTGTGGGTTCAAACTGATGAAATCTTTACTTAATATATACTAAATCGATCTTCTGTATATAAAGATAATTGAAAATGAATGTTGATGTGAATGGAATGGGAGAGGGAGCGGGAGATGGGAGGGGTGCGAGTGGGAGGGAAGTTATGGGGGGGGAGCCATTGTAATCCATAAACTGTACTTTGAAAATTTATATTTACTAAATAAAAGTTAAAAAAAAGAACATGCAGAGGCAAAAATTATATAATGATTTAATAGAATGCAAAATAGCATTAATCCCATAATCCCAATAATATAAAAACACAGATAGCAAAATACACACCAGAGAAGAATGCATTCTATAAACACTCTATTAAGTTGTTTTGTTCAAAGATTTATCTATTTATTTGAAAATCAGATTTACAGAGAGAGTAGGGGAGTCGGCGACAGAGAAATCTTCCATCTGCTATTTCACTCCCCCAAGTGGCTGAAACCAGGAGCCAGGATCTTCTTCCTGGTCTCCCACATGGGTGGCAGGGGCCCAAGCACTTGGGCCATCTTTCACTGCTTTTCCCAGGCCATTAACAGGGAACTGGATCAGAACTGGAGCCGTTGGGTCACATCACAGCATCATAGCTGGAGGCTTTACCTGCAACGCCACATGCTGGCCCCGAAGAGAGCTTTTTAAGGATAAACAATCTTCAGTGATGTTTCATGGGGTAGTATTATTTTCATTGAGGATACCATTCTGTCAGTAGTAGTAGCCACGATTTATTGAGAAATCATGAAATGCCTTACTTATATTGTTGAAGTTAACTCTTACTTGGAAAGTTTTATTATAAGTCATGCTTTACAGAGAAACTGAGGCTCAGAGAGATTAAGCAAATTGCATGAACTAAGAGTCTAAGATATTTTCCCCAGAGCTGAAGTTTCTAACTGAGAATTAATAATGACAAGAATAACAGCCAACACTTCCGGGGCCTCCAAATGGGGGAGGCAGTGGTCTCAGTACTTTTTTATTTTATTTTTTTTATTTACTTGACAGGTAGAGTTATAGACAGTGAGAGAGAGAGAGAGAGAGAGAGAAAGGCCTTCCTCCCATTGGTTCACTCCCCAAATGGCCACTACGGCCGGAACTGTGCCAATCCGAAGCCAGGGGCCAGGTGCTTCTTTCTGGTCTCCCATACAGGTGTAGGGTCCAAGCACTTGAGCCATCCTCCACTGCCTTCCTGGGCCACAGCAGAGAGCTGGACTGGAAGAGGAGCAACCAGGACAGAATTCGGCACCCCAACTGGGACTAGAATCCGGCGCCCATATGGGATGCTGGCGCCGCAGGCGGAGGATTAACCCAGTGAGCCATGGCACCAGCTCCAAGTACTTTTCATTTACTAACTCAGTCTCACATCAGACCTAAGAGGTAGGTGTGATTATTATTACTCCTTCTGATGGGTACAGAAAGCAAGGCCCAGAACCAAGCTCCCCAGCCTGTCTGTGGTCCAATTAGGATTAGCACAAGTCTACACCACTGTTCTAGTCCTGGGGCTTAGTGGAAATGGCAAAGAAGGCATGATGAAGAAATAGTTTTTTAAGGAAAAACTAAAGTACTTGCAGTAATAGCAATACAACTGCAAACATTCCAGCTTCAGAGAGTAGAATAACCAGTGGTTTTATTGACAAACAGGGGAGGTAGATTTGAACACATGCAATTTTAGATAACCTTGAAATCCTCTAAATGCCACTTACAATTGGGTGCTGTGGAACACAGGAATGGTTATGGCCAACACAAAATGGATCTGACACCACAAAGAGGTGATAATTCTCAGCTCCCCATGTGAACTGATTTCTTGAGAAAGAAGTTTTGCAAAGAGCAGGATTCAAGAAAATTGGAAATAAAACAACAAAAGATGATCAAGAATCTGAAAACAGTGTGGACAGTTACCTGACCCAGAGTGAAGGAACAGTGAGAACTCGGCAGCAGGACGACAAGTGGAAAGCAGAGTAGGGAAACAGGAATTTGGTTCCCAGAGGACCTCTGTGAGGTCGTTCTTTGAGGAAGAGGGGAGACTGCAGCCAGAAGACTGGGGAGCCAGAAAGGGTGCAAGTCATGCTTGGGGAAGGAAGCAAACAGAGCTGAAGGAATGCTGGATTGTGTGGGAGTTTCTTTGACAGCAGTTAGTGGTCTGTGCAGGCAGAGTGGGGGAAAGCTAGTAGGCCTGGAGGCCCTCTCCACGCAGGAGAAGGGAGTACCTGTGGACATGGGTCCCCCCCCCTGCTGGGAAGGGCCAGTGGGAGAGTTTAGCTTTCTGAGACAGAGCTGCCTTGCAGGTGAATGTGGCAATTGGAGGGAAGCAGAAATGAGTGCATCCGGGTATTACTTAAATAGAAATAACATATGGTTTATTTACCTATTATCTTACACAATTTACTCTTTTATCGCCTGCTCTATGCTGCTGAACTGTGACCCTCCAAATGCAACATCTCACATCCTGTTGACACTTGGCTTCCCTAACAGTTCTGCCAGTGAAAGGCACTAGAGATTCATGAGGGCAGGAGGAGGGAGAGGGTCCTTTCTTCCCAGTTCCCATTAGTGCCAGTCCATGTCACACAGTGGGTTCTGTCCTCCAGTGGTTGTCAATCCTCCAGGCACAGACTTGCCGGATTCCCTCTGCGGGTTCAGCAGCAGCTGGGCTACACACTCTCAGCCACATAAATACACAGCTTGCCTTCTGAGA